TTTATAGTAGCAGGCTGTGTTTAACCTTTCCACTGAAGTTGCATGGGGGATATGGCAGTTTGGGGGCAGGGTGGGATTTGTAGCTTACAGGGTCTGATGATTGGGGTGGGGATAATGGAGAAGCCTACTTGCAGGAACCTCTCCTGTCTACTGGCTAATGAAGCAGAGGCAGGTGTGGGAGGGGCCCAGGGTTTTGCCCCAGTATGGAGGGCCTGGAGAGGGGATGTCCTGCCATCTGGCTGGTGACTCACTTCTTGGTCCTCTCTCTCTCTGTAGCCGCAGGCTGGGCTTCATTATGTTCTGATATTTATCTTCTTCTATCTATATGCTTTTTTCTCAGGCTACTTTGTCTATAGTTCTCCATGTTTCTGTTTCTTCTGAGGCCTCTTTGTGCCTAAATTTCATATTATAATCTGAAAATATATTTCACCATTCATTGGATCTTGACGGACCATTGCTCTGTCTGCTGTTTCCTCTATTCTAGTATATAGGAGCTGGTAAAATGTACTGAAATAATGACATATGGGAGACGTGGAATCCAATACACTTACACAGCCCCGCCAGTCACCAATTTTTTTTTAACCACGTGTCTCCTTCTGTAGAAAACAGGATCATTTAATGATGTTTGTATTCTCTCAGTAGCATTTTACTTATTTTATTGTATGGGGGGAATCTGGTAAAGGTAATCAGATACCTTGTTCATTATCTCATGTGGACGTTAGACCATGTTAGAGAGGGACTTAATGCAGGTAGTCAGTCCCCTTTTATGCAGCACCCTCTCATACTGTATAATCTGTAGTACAGTTTAGACTTTGTTGTTCTTGCCAGCTGGTGTCCCTAAGCAGTCTGGTCTTATTTGTTTCTCTTCCGTCTTTAACATTTTATGAGTGATTTGCTCCTACACTTAACTTTACCCTAGGTTTTTTTTCTTTCCATTTCTGTCACCATGGTTATCTAATTGTCTCACAGCTTTCTGTGTAGTAGCTCTCTATGACCTTTTGTCACAATCATTTCCCCCAACATTTACTATTGTTTGTTTTTCCTCTTAGAGGAAGCAGATTCATTTCTAATTTTTATAATTAATTATTTGTTAATGTGCACCATACATTATACAATCTAGCTATAAACTAAGCAGAATATAATATAAAGTAAAATTGAGAATTCAGTTTTGCTTTTTGATGATGCTTAGTGATTTGGATTCTCAATAACTTAGACTTTCCTACTAGCTATTTACTGACAAACAGAGAAAGGTCTGTTGGGAATGCAACACTTTTAGGTAAGGAAAAGTAATATCTTTTACACATGGCACTTTTTGTGATGTTAAAAATCATGTAATAATTTTCTGGAAGATATAACAACTAAATTATGTTTATTGTAATCAACACTAAGTTAAGTATGTTGGTTGATGTTTTTCTCCTGCTCTAGACTAAAGTGCATTAAAAATGAGTATATTTCATTTGTGTATAAAGGTGCATCAGTGAACCCATGTCTGCAGTACTAGAGTGTGAAGACAACAGAACCCTTGCTTTGTACAGGTCCCTCTCTTCCTTGACATCCTCAGTACTAGCTGTATCTTTTTCACTGATCCTTAAAGGTTTAAGTGAAAATATTAGAGACTGTGAATGTAACAAGTCAGATATTAACAAACGTGGAATAATTCCCACCAGCTTGGCACCAATCCCTGCTAGGCTACACGAGGCCTAGCTTTGGTGTTAGCACATAGGAACTTCTGTTTTCTTGTTGTTTTTGTTGGATTATTTTTCCATCATTTTGCTCAAAGATAATGGCTACCATTAAAGTTAACATATGTTACTTTTAGAAAAGTGACTGATATTACTTGATTCACTCAGGACGATTCTTTTGATCAGAGAATTGAGCTTGTTGATATTTAAAGGCATTATTATCATATTGTAGGATCTGGATGGGTCAATGGCTCCAGAAGAACATTACACATAGAACCAAATGAGCAGGGTCCATCAGGACTCATAGAGAATAAAGTGGCAATCATTGATCCTGCCGTGGATGGCACTAAGTTTTCGGCATGCATATATGTCATGATTGTTTAGATTGGGTATTTGTAGGACTCCTAGAAGTGGTAGTGGCTGTATTGCTGACTTTTTTGCCTGCTCTTGGGACTCTCTTGTTCCAACTTGTCTCTTCCATGCTTAACATGAAAGTTTGCGCCTTATCTTGTTGCATCTTGATATGCTGTGTTTGGTCCTATCCTTGGGAAGCCTGTTCTCATGCAAACAGAAATGGAGAAACAGTATATCTGGGTGAGGGGAGATGGGGAAAGACTAAGAATGGTGGGATGGGAGGCTGTAGTCAAAATGTCTTGCGTGATAGAAAAGTAAATAAAAAGAAAACAGAAAATAATATGTAATTATGTTAGTTATGGTCATCTTGTTGTTGGTTTTTGTGCTTTCATTTTCAATGTCATGTTTAAATGCATAAGCACAGCTTTGCTTTCCTCTCTACAGTCCCTTCAATGTGCTCATTCCTCACTTTAGTCAGAGATGTTTGTTCCTATACTTCTTTATCTTTAGTTGATAGTAATTTGCTGCAGCCCATGCAACCTGGATGCCAAGACTGGAGTGAGTGGGGGCACGGAGGCTTCTTTTCAAGTTGGAAGAACAGCATCCTTTATTTTTCCCAGTCACCTTTTATACCTCTACTTCTTCTGTGGAGACCCACCAACCAGAAAGAACACAAATGTCCTTGTCAATTATAGACCACAAGGAAGTCCGCTGTCAGTCAGGGGGAGTGAGGGCAGCTGGATCACAACAGGAATTTACTTCAGGCTGCTTACATCAGGAAGGTTTTCCTCTTTGTCCTTCAAATGTTGCAAAAAGATTCACTGGGAACAGAGAGGTAGGGACAGAGAGATCAAAGGGATCCTGAAGAAATCCAAAAAAGTGTTAGTATCTCAGACAGAACCAAGAAGAGCCATGGGGGAGTCCCGGGTGTTGCATCAGAAACTATGATGTTCCATTTGGGACCAGGGAAAACCATGTGCTACCAGGAGATTTTAACACGCAATCATTTGCCAGGCAAGTGCAAAGAATCACCACCAACTCACAGTAGTCAGCATCTCACATAAACAAACACTTCTCAGGGGCTGTTCAAATACATCCTGGGAGCTCACATATGAATGCCTCAATCCCTGAGTTTTGTGACTCTGGACACAGGCTCAGGATTTCAATTGGAGATAGTACAATTGTATGAGTACCTATCTCCCTCCTGCCCAGGCATCAGATTTTGCTCTGGGAAACACTGAGAGACATAAGTTGGGAAACAAAGAAATCCGGTAGGTTTAGCCTCCTAGAACACATGATCTTACAGGAATGAATCTGGGGGTGGAAACATGAATGCTAAGGTTTGGGACAGTGTGTGTTGAACTTTTCTTTCAGTTCTGATGGTTTCTCTTATCCTTCCACCTCAGTTTACAGTCAGTCAACCTGTCAGAAGCTACATGCCCAGAAAGTCACCTGATGGTCTACTCAATACCAGGTTCTTCAGTGGGGTCTCCAAACCCCAAATCCAAATATTTGTGTTCATTTGTTCTTTGCCTTTGAGACTCTGGTGCCAAGCCAACTGCCTGCGAGGGTCAGAACTCAATCTGTGTATTAAACTCATGAATACATTTAAACCAAATATATGGTGATCATAAAGGAAGAAGAAAAGAGACATCCTTTGTACTAGTGTTAAAGGTAAGAGTAGTGGGCTAGAGGGCACTTGCAGCTTTCCTGGGCCAGCTTTCAATTTGTGAATTAGTCCTTTCAGTCCTTGAGAAGGTGATCTATCCCCAATCAAAACCTGGTCAAAGTGGAGCCTCTCCTGGCTCCTGAGGCCCTTTGTACCTAGTCTTACATATTAGGTTGATATCCATGGCAAACTAGCTCTTTTACTGAAGGGAAATGGAGGAGGAGTGGGTCCGGGGGAGAGGAGGTGAGGACTGGGCAGAGTGGAGGGAGGGGAAATCCTGGTCAAAATGTCCTGTGTGAGAGAATGCTAATAATTAAAATTCCTGGTGAAATCACTGAGAAAATGGCACAGGGTTTCAGAGGTATGGAAGAGTTGGAAAGAACTCACTGACACTAGAAAACACATTTTAAGATGTGCATCTTAGTAGCACCATGATTGTGTGGCCATGATATACAGAATATTTTCCCAAGTGTTTCACACTTTGTCTTTTACCTAGAAGATTTTCAAATGTGCTCTTTACAAAATAGCATGTTAATCCCATGTGTTCTTCCCTACAGGTTTTCTGTCGTCTTTCATGGTACTTTAATTTTCTTTTATTCTAATCCATTAAGAATTTTGTGTAATGGAAATAAAAAATAAAGTTAAATGAAATTAAAATCTTTCTTCCTTCCACTATTTATTCAATAATCTCTACTGGGCACCTGCCTGTGAGAGAACCTAGAGATGGATTAACTGCAGTTGACAAGAACACAGTTCTAGGGCGGCAGAGATGGCTCAGTGGTTAGAACACTGGCTGCTCTTGTAGAGGACCTGGGTTCAATTTCCAGCACTCCCATGGCAGTTCACACCCATCTGTAATCCTAGTGGCAGGGGACCTGAGGTCCTCTTCTGACCTCTAAGTGCACCAAGAACACAGTTTACAGATGCATGTAGGCAAATGCTCTTTGGTATAAAAAAAAATTAAGAGAAAACCAACTCTACAAATAAAGATAAATTTCGTGGCATAAATTTGAATGAATGAATGAAATGAAGGAAACTTCCTTCTTTTAAGCACTCAGATTGGATGCTCAGACTGTCACTGATGTGTCTTTAATTCCATCGAATGTTTTCTAAAATGTCACAGAGGGTGAGAATAAAGGGATAAAGATTGCACCATGAATTTCCCCTGCTGGATGGGGACAAGGAAACTGGGGTGGAGAGGATGCTGCGCTCAATGCAGGTGACTATTTCAGGCTCCATTCAGATACCGTAGTCCCCGGTCCGGAAATCGTCCGCTACCGGAAGTGACGCGCGGCTTGGAGCTCGCGGGAAACTCGTCTAGCTGGCTGGCGCACCGGTGGAATTCCAGCAGCCATGAGCCTCTGGGTGGACAAATACCGGCCGTGCTACCTCCTCTGGCTGGACTATCACAAGGAACAGGCGGCGCAGCTGAGCAACCTGGTGAGCAGACCGGGACGGCGGAGGCCGGCACGTTCCGCCGCTTCCTGAAAAGCCCGAGGGGAAGGGAGTGGGAAGGCGGGCGCTGCAGGGTTAGGGGGACCCAAAGTGACAAGTTCCCCGGAGTGCTGCTTCTGCTGCCCCGGGTCCCTTGAGCTTGGGGTGCGGACCTGGCGGAGGCTGGAAACCCTGGTTGTAGGAGGGGCTGGGGCCGACAGGCTCGCCTGCTGCACATTAACTACATGGCGGGCTGATGGAGGGGACAGTGCCCTGCACCCTGTTCGTAGTTACTAGCCTCTTCGGAATCACAGCTAAGTCCTTTCTGAAAACGAGGACTTATTTTACCTAGTGCCTCTATCCTCCATATGAGAGTTTTTGGAAGAATCTGGAGGGAAGTGGAAGATATGTTTTAGTTGTCTTTTTTGTTCTTGTTCTTATAATGCGTGCATTAATATAAAAATCGAGCATTATACTTTATGTGTATGCACACCGGTTTTTACAGTAGCTTCAACGTTAAGTTTCCTAGCCATAGGATGGACTCATTTTATTCATTCCTGTGGCTACTTGTTTATATTCTTAGGACAGGGGTTAGTATACTATTTCTACGCCTTAATGAATTTACTTTTAAAGTCTACATCTTCTCATCGGATCAAGCCCCCATGCCCACAGTGCCCATTAGTTTGATGCCAATTCTCTTACTGCCGTTTGATAACACACTCTTTCCCATAGCATCCCTTATGTGCAGTCTTCCTGTACCCCCCAAATGAACATGCAAGGGAATCAGTGTACCCCCCTCCTTAGCAAGAAAATCATTTTGGGAACCCAGGCAAGACAGTAACAGAGATCAGTTCCACATTCCCATCAGCCCTCATTTTTGAAAGTGCCCTTCAGAGAGCTTGCTGAGGGAGTCCCTGGCTTTAAGCATTTAGTGTTGTGCCTTGCATGTTCTGTATTATGCATGCAGATTAGATTGAATTAGTGCCCAGAGAAAGCAAATTTGAGAGTTTGATAAATTTCTATTGGAGTTAGATAGTAACAAAATTCCTTAGTACTTTAGAAGTAGTTTAACCTGGAGCACCTGGGTTTGACGAGCATGAAATGCCTTGTTCCTTCTCCCCTAGGTGCAGGGTGGTGACTTTCCTCACCTCCTAGTATATGGACCATCAGGTGCTGGAAAAAATACAAGAATTATGTGTATTCCACGAGAACTTTATGGTGTCAGGGTGAATAAATTGAGAATTGAGCATCAACCTATTACAGCAAGCATCTCTTGTCAGGGCTCGGCAGATGTTTCTGGCAAGGATTTTCTTTTTTTACATTTTTTATTTTATTGAGCTATACATTTTTCTCTGCTCCCCTTCCTGTCTCTTCCTTCCCCTTCAACTCTCTCCCATGGTTTCCATGCTTCCAATCATTCAGGAGAGCTTGTCTTTTTCAACTTTCCATGTAGATTATATCAATGTATGTCTCTCTTAGAGTCCTCATTGTTGTCTAGGTTTTCTAGGATTGTGAATTGTAGACTGGCTTTTTTTTTTTGCTTTATGTTTTGTTGCTTTATGCCTCTTATGAGTGAGTACATACAATATTTCTTTTTCTGGGTCTGGGTTACCTCAATCAATATGATGTTTTCTAGATCCATCCATTTGCCTATGAATTTCAAGATGTCATCATTTTTCTCATCTGTGTAGTACTCCATTGTGTAAATGTACCACATTTTCCTTATCCATTCTTCGGTCAAGGGGGCATTTAGGTTGTTCCCAGGTTCTGACTATGACAAACAATGCTGCTATGAACAGAGTTGAGTACATGTCCTTGTGGCATCCTTTGGATATATACCCAAAAGTGGTATTACTGGGTCTTGAGGAAGGTTGTTTCCTAATTTTTTGAGAAATTGCCACACTGACATCCAAAGGGGCTGTACCAGTTTGCATTCCCACCAGCAATGCAGAAGTGTTCCCTTTACCCCACAACCTCTCCAGCATAAGTTGTCATCAGTGTTTTTGATCTTGGCCATTCTTACAGGTATAAGATGGAATCTCAGAGTTGTTTTGATTTGCATTTCCCTGATGACTGAGGTTGTTGAGCATTTCCTTAAGTGTCTTTCAACCATTTTAGATTCTTCTGTTGAGAGTTTTCTGTTTAGGTCTGTACTACCTTTTTTTTTAATTGGATTACTTTTTCTTTTGATGACCAGTTTCTTGAGTTCTTTGTATCTTTTGGAGATCAGACCTCTCTTTGTCTCATGTGGGGTTAGTGAAGATCTTTTCCCATTCAGCAGGCTGTTGTTTCGTCTTGTTGACCATGTCCTTTGCTTTACAGAAGCTTTTCAGTTTCAGGAGGTCCCATTTATTAATTGTTTCAATCAGTATCTGTACTACTGGGATTATATTTGGGGAGTGGTCTCCTGTGCCAGTGTGTTCTAATGTACTTCCCACTTTCTCTTTTATAAGGTTGAATATGGCTGGCTTTATGTTGAGGTCTTTGACCCATTTGGACTTGAGTTTTGTGCATGGTGATAGATATGGGTCTATTTTCATTTTTCTACATGTTGATATCCAGTTAGGCCACCACCATTTGTTAAATATGCTTTCTTTTTTCCATTTGATATTTTTTGCTTCTTAGTCAAAATTCAGGTGTTTGTAGGTGTGTGGATTAATATCTGGGTCTTTGATTTGGTTCCATTGTTCCTTCTGTCTGTTTTTATGCCAATACAAGGCTGTTTTCAGTACTGTAGCTCTGTACTAGAGTTTGAAGTCAAGGATTGTGATGCCTTCAGGAGTTCTTTTGTTGTACAGGATTGTTTTGCCTATCCTGGTTTTTTGCTTTTCAGCATGTAGTTGAGTACTGTTTTTATGAGGTTTATGAATAATTTTGCTGGGATTTTGATGGGCATTGTGTTGAATCTGTAGAATGCTTTTGGTAAGATTGCCATTTTTACTATGTTAATTCTACCTCATAAAAAGAGTTTGGCAATGTTGCTTCTGTTTCTGTTGTGTGGAATAATTTGAGAAGTATTGGTATTAGTTCTTCTTTGAAAATCCTGTAGAATTCTGAGCTGAAATCATCTGGTCCTGGGCTTTTTTTGGTTGGGAGATTTTTGATGCCCATTTTTATTTCTTTAGCAGTTATAGGTCTATTTAATTTGTTTATCTGGTCTTAATTTAATTTTGGTAAGTGATATTTATCCAGAAAGTTATCCATTTCCTTTAAGTTTTCCATTTTTTTGGAGTACAGGTTTTCAAAATACGACCTGATGATTCTCTGTATTTCCTCCGTGTCTGTTGTTATGTCCCCCATTTTCATTTCTGATTTTGTTAATTTGGATATTCTCTCTCTGCCGTTTGGTTATTTTGAAAAAGGTTTGTTCATTTTGTTGATTTTTCTGGAAGAACCAACTCCTTGTCTCATTGATTTTTTTTTTTGTATTGTTTTCTTTGTTTCTATTTTGTTGATTTTAGCTCTCAATTTGACTATTTCCTGCCATCTAGTTCTCTTGGTTAGTTTGCTTTCTTGTTCTAAAGTTTTCAAATGTTCTGTTCATTCACTTTTGTGGGATTTTTCCAGTTTCTTTCTGTAGGCGTTCTTGTTTGCTTGTTTCTTTGTTTTGGTGTTTAGTTTTTTACTTCTAGGAATGTTCTAGAATTTCTGTATGATATTTAGCTGGTAATGGTATTTTCCTAATCTTTCCACAGTCTCTCTTTTAAAATGGATAGTAGTCTCCTATCTATGGGAGGCATTTAGTTTTCCAATGTCTCTTTAGTCACTCTACATGGTCTTAAATACTTTGCTCCAGGGATTCTCTTTAAAAACTCTCCCCTTTGCCTACTCTGAAGTATTTGTTTAATCTGTCTTTATAAGAGAACACTGTAACAACCAACCTCACTTCCCTTGGATTTTCCACATAATAAGCTGTTGTATCCTAAGCTAATGCACAGGTGAAACCTTAAATTATTTTCTTCCACAATAAATGCTAAATACATTATAGAGATTAAATCTTGGTAAACAATGGGGTTTGTAGCACTGTCTGTTATTAGTATCAGATGGGGTCAAGTAGAGTCAGTGACTAATCTTGTGAAATCATTTTAAAGATTTCTGCACAGTATCCCTCAGCCCTTCCTCTTGTGATGCTCCTTGTGTTGTTCAATGAGAGAAAGAGAATAAAGCCCTTGCTAGGGGCAGATACATACTAAGGCACAACAACAAAGTGTTAAGACAGCCTACAGGAAGGCACAGATTCAGACTCACACATAGGACAGGATAAAATGGATGACACCTGATGAGTGAATTCGTTTAAATCTGGAGATGCTCCTGGTCAGATGAAACAAAGAGGAAGGGATTTACTGATTTCTCTCCATAGTGCACCGCTGCATTATAGGTGACAGTGAGTATATTAATAATGTGTTTAAAGTTACATATTTTGTTGTCCTGTGTGAGGAATGCTACAGGAACTAATAAATATTTGTAGTAGAATAATCATATCTTTATAGAAGAGTGGTTGAAAAGAAACTGTAAGCTAGATATTGGGGGTGAATTTTATGAAATCTTCTTATGGATATTGCACACACACACAAACACACATACAGACACACGGATATATTGTGAAAATGTTATACTTGCAATTATGAAAATTAAACAAAAGAAACTACAGATAACTGTTAACCTCTTACATGATACTGCCCTGAATTGATCACTAGCTAACAAGTACAATTAAAAAATCACTTGTGTCTTTCAAGTTTGTACAGATACTGTGTAAACTACCTGAAAACACATTAGAAATTCATTCTTAGGTTCTTGGGCTTCTTCTTTACCCCCATCCCTACAACTTTCATGCAGAGGATATATGTTTCAGTAAAAAGATGGTTCCTAAAAGTAGAATCATCACGCGAATTATGGTAAGCACAGTATCTACTTTTTATTCTTATCAGTATATATGACTCCATTAGAATGTGTCATAACATACTGTGATAATATGCTACATGCTTAATAAACAATGTCCAGTGCTGATGCATTTTCAACTCTAATGCTTCCATTAAAAGAATCCAAAAGGAGTTATAGTTCCTCAGAATTTCAGTCATGAATAACTGCATGTTGATATGAAATTGCTTTCAGTTGTGCTTCATTCCATTCCACAGCTTCCATTCATTAATTTAAGTAGCAACCCCATCTTTGTGAACCTGGCCAGCAGAAACAAAGGGAAGTTCATGATTAACTTTATAGGATTCTGATGTACATTTGAGTTCAGCTTTCCTTACCACATTTTTGCTTTGCCTTGGCTGAGCACAACATGGCAGGACAGCCTAAGGTCTGACTATATAACTTCACTGCTGAGCAGACCACTTGAACTCAGCAAGGGAGAAACTCATTTTAATCTCTCTTGTTTTCATGAGTATCTGTGGAACCAAACCAGGAGTGAATACTCTCTTGATTTCTGTGTTTCTGCAGATGGTGAGTGTGCGTGTAACAGGTGAATGGTGTCTGTTGATAATTTTAAACCAAATTCCTCAAGAAAGCATCCAGGAGCTACAAGGCCACATTGTTTTCCCTGAAACAGAAGAGAGGGCTGATTCTACAGTAAGTATGTCTCTGCTCGGAGGCTTTGCTCAATTCTTCTGCAAGGCTCTATGTTTATGTTGTACATCTTCTCTGTTTCTCATAATCCAGCCTACAGTTTATTTTGACTGACATTTGCTTGCTTGTATTTCTTGTGAGAGTTATGATTGAGTTTTTAAATTTATATTGTTTACCAGTGTGGATGTATCTCCATTTTGTTCTTGGCCGCTCATTTTTCAGGACATATATCCTCAGTGAATTGATGATGTTTATCACTATGAATTCCATAGTGACAGGTGAATATTATAACTTACTGATGACCATTTTTCCATAGACTCTCTCATATCCTCAGATAAAGACAGTAAATGCAAATGTATGGCATGGCTTACATCTTAGGGCTCTGTTTGTTACTGACTTAGAAAATGCATATTAGGCCGGGTGGTGGTGGTGCACGCCTTTAATCCCAGCACTTGGGAGGCAGAGGCAGGCGGATCTCTGTGAGTTTGAGACCAGCCTGGTCTACAAGGGCTAGTTCCAGGACAGGCTCCAAAACCACAGAGAAACCCTGTCTCGAAAAAAAAAAAAAAGAAAAGAAAAGAAAATGCATATTAAACCACCTGGAATGCATTGTTTAGCATAACTCTTTCAGTTATGAGATTGTAGATTTAGAAATGTCATAATCTCCTGAAAACCAAAACTACATATACAGCATTCACTTGAGAATCTAGAAGGTGGATGATACATGTAGCTTATACTTAGTATAAAACTGGTGCTGTTGTATTCACTCTACAGTTTCCATGCTTTCTTTCATGGACAATCACTGTCACTACAATAATGAGGTGACTCTGTGTGAAAAGCTGCCATCAGTTCATCTTAATGATGTATTGATGCTGACTTCATTCACCTGTGCTTGGTTCTCTGCTACAATGTCTACCACTTCAGAGATCATTAGTTTAGCTTTTGTGTTTCTGGTGTTGTATATAGTGTTTCATTCTGTAGCCAGAGTGCATTGGATTCACGTTATCAATAGTAATTATTTTGGAACATTGCCAATTGAAGAACATAAATATCAAATTTTATGAAGAAACTGAACCTGTTCCTAATTATTTTGATTTGTTCCCTTGCATTGGAGGCTCCCTTGCATGAGATCTCCCCACATTTCCCCCATGAACACAATTGTTTTCATGTCTAGATTTCAGAAAAATAGCTATGTATTTATAGGTTTGTTATTTTTAATTTTCCTTCTATTGAAAATAGATATTTTTCCTCACATAATTTCATGATTATGGTTTTCTCTCCCTCTACGACTCCCAATTAATCCCCATACCTTTTTTCCATCCAGATCATCCCCCTTTCTGTCTCTCAATAGAAAACAAACTAAGGTAGAATAATGACACAAAATATAATATGATGTAGTAAGATAAAACAGAACTAACACAGACTAATAGGAAAGAACAATCACATGAAAAGTAGCTCTAAAAAAGGCACAAGAAACAAATATAGATGCAGAGACCCATGACTTTTCAAGGTCATGAATTCCCTAAAACACTAAAGTGAAACTGTAATATCATTTAGGGTAAAAAGTGATAAGAAAATATATAAATAAAATAAACTATAAAGGAAAGAAAAGTTGAAAAATTCTTAGATGACATTATGACACAAGGAACTTCCAAGATGCTGTTGAGTCTATGAGGCTCAGCATGCAACCTACCTTTGAGAGTAGTTTCTTATCCCAGTGACAATTCCTTGAAGCAAATCAAATTTTCATTTGCAAGGGGTTATCAGTCAGATTGTTTTCTGGGCTAGAGATCCGGGCATGTGTCCACCTCTTACTTTGTTGTAGGAGCTGCGGGCTCTGTTCTGCCACCCAGCTCCCACCACCGGCTAGCTTTACCCGAAATAACAACACACAAACTGTATTTTTTTAAACACTGCTTGGCCCATTAACTCTAGCCCTTACAGGCTAATTCTCATATCCCCGATTAACCCATCTCCAATAATATGTATAGCATCAGTCTTACCGGGAAAGATTCAGCATGTCTTACTTGGCAGCTTGCTTCATGGCGTCTGCCCGGGAGAGGGGAGCATAGCCTCTGTCTGAGGTGTCTGCCCCAGAGAGGAGAGCTATGAGTCTGAGCTCACTTCCTCTTCCTCCCAGCATTCTGTTCTGCCTACTCCACCCACCTAAGGGATGGCCTATCAAAATGGGCCAAGGCAGTTTGTTTATTACCAATGACCTTTCTCCATCATTACTTCAGTTCCAGTACTAAATTTGGTGCAGAACTGTGCATGACATGTATATGCTGCCTCAGTTTCTGCTCATTAATATGGGCTTCAATCCAGTAGAGGTAGAGGGCTGTGTATGTTTGTGTGGGGGAGGGGCATGTGGGTATCTTCCTCCTTTTATACATGGTCCTGTTATCCCTGAGGGGAGGTATTTGAGAGAGACCTCCCATTTAGCAGTGTTTCAAGGTCTCTCAATCTCTGTATATATTCTGGCTGTGAGCCTCTCTATGTTTTCTCTCCACCGATTACATGAGGAATATCCTCTTTTTAGTTGAGCAAGGCTTTGATCTATTAGTACATCCTGTATAGTAGAATGTCATTTGGAGCAATTTTATTTTTATTTTTTAGAACCGTAATGTTGGGTTTTATTTATGTCCGGTCTTTGGGCTGTCTAGTTTCTGGTTTTTGGTCACCAGAGCAGTGTAAGGTATGTGTTTCATCTCGTGGAGTTAGTCAAATCAGGTTTTGAATTATACTCCCACAAGATTTGTGCCACAATTATACTATCAAATCTAAAGGGCAGGACACCAATGTAGATCAAATGGTTTTATTTGGACTTGATGCTTATGTTTGCTCTCAGTTGTATGTAGACTACCTTGCTGTACCAAAGACTCAAGTAGTGATAAAGACACTATATAGACACCAGCTCCACTTCTCTGTGATCAGTGAGTTTTTTTTTTTTTTTTTTTTTTTTTTTTTTTTTTTTTTTTTTTTTTTTTTTTTAGTGGAACACTGATTTTGTTTTGATCAGTAAATCCAGATAACACAAGGCATTAGCATTTTCAAACACTGCAGTTTTTACTTCATTTTAACTAAAATGTGTCTGGTGGAATCTTGCTGTATTCCATAAAACAGAATGACGATATTTTCTCCAGCCAGACAAGCGGACACCTACATGAAATCAATCTTTTAGCATGGTAAATAGATTCTAAATTTTAAAGGCAGTGTGTATACTAAAGTAACTCATAGTCAAGTCTAACAATTATTTAAAAGCTTGTCGGAGTTTTGATAAGAGTAGAGAGGCAAGAATTTCTTACACAGCATGCCAGATCAGCACAGTTACCAATCTGACATTATAGGCATTTGAGTAATGTGTCATCAAAATCACACAGTATTTATGGTTGACATGCTCAAGAAATTAAAAGCACTCAATCTTATGCAAGGCATAGATGTGAATGTCTGAAAGAGAAAAGCTGAAGATCATTCAGTTGTGATGAATATCCATCTTCCATAGATGTTTTGATTCTTTTCCAAGTAAGCCAAACCTTCTGTTTAGTTGCAGGCTTCTGAAAACTTTCTCATACCCATATCCCGTAGAGTGAGCTAATACTCAGGCCATTCCAATAATCTAGCTAAATTAATTGATCCCATTAAAAAAAAAAAAAACCTGTGTTCCCACTGCCTGTATCTTTTCACATGTTTCTCTAGTCATTTATTTATTTAGAGAATGTGTATGCATACATTAATGTGTGCCTGTGTGGATTTTTGTCATGGTGCATGTGTGGAGGTCAAAGGTTAACACGAGAATGTCAGTTCTCACCAGCATGTGGGGTCTGGAGTATGAATTTATGTCCACCGGCTTGGTGGCAAGGGCCCTTACCCACTGAACCACACCAAAGGCCTATTTCCTTAAAATCGTTTCCCATAGCTGTATCTCAAATGACTGTTCTTTTTAAGTATAATCCATACACTCAGATGTACACACACCCATACATTCCTTATGTCTGAAATAAAAGCTTTAAACAGTATAAGAGAAATACTTAACAAATACAAGTTGTTTTATTTGGTAACAATATGTGGCAAACCCTTATTGAGTCTTTAATTATGCAATTTACTTTTTTGGGCTAAGTGTAGTGACACATGACTATATTCTCAGACCTTGGGTGGTAGAGAAAGGAGGATCAGGATTTCAAGGCCAGACTAAACTACTTTTGTGAAGTTTGAAAACAGACTGAACTATGTGACTCAAAAAAGTATAATGATATTTGCATGATATATATTTTTCTGCTTAAAATGAATTTTTGAAATTTATCTAAAAAAATCTTTTCTCATTTAACATGCCAAATCCATTTTCCACTCCCTCCCTCCTGCTGCTCCCTCCACCTTCCCCGCTCCTGTCTCCCCATCTCACCCCGCATCCACTCCTCACAGAGGGTAAGGCATTTTCCCATGGGGAGTCAACGAAAACTAGCACATTGCTTTGAGGCAGGACCAAGGCCTTCCCCAATATATCTAGGTTGAGCAAGGTATCCCTCCAAAGAGAATAGGTTCCAAAAAGCCAGAAAGAACAAGCACAAGGAATAAATCCTTGTCTTCCTTCCAGTGGCCCCAGTCTGCCCCAGCCATACAACTGTCACCCACATTCAGAGGGCATAGCTCAGTCCTATGCTGGTTCCTTTGCTGTCAGGCCAGAGTTGGAAGGCTTCCATTATCTCTGGTAAGCTGTTTTGTGGGTAACCCCATCATAGCCTTGACCTCTTAGCTTATATTTTCACTCGTCCCTCTCTTCAACTGGACTTTGGGAAGTCAGCCCAATGCTCTGGGTTGTGGACTATAGGCTCCTAATACTTTCCTATATAGCTAATATTCATCTGTGAGTGGGTACATACCATGCTGATTTTTCTAGGTCTGTGTTAACTCACTATTAATTTTCTAGTTCCAGCCATTAAAATGCAAATTTCAAGATGTCATTGTTTTTATGGCTGAGTAGTATTTCATTATGTAAATGTACCACA